AGAACTGTCCCCGGGGGCAGGGCCGGGCAACGCCCCCTGCACCTGCAGGCAGGACTCCGGGCTCCGCCCTGGCCCCGCCCTCGAGACGGGGGCGCCTCAGCTGGGCGCTGGATTTCTTCCACTAGCACGCCTCAAGTCAGCTCAGGGCATTGGCCCGTTTAAAAGAGGACTTCCCTAGACCTAGCCCGCTACCTGGGACGCCAGTCTGGGTGCAGTGTTCACTCAGGGGGCGCCACCCTAGAACCTTTTCGGCCTCACGTCCCCGGCATTGCCAGGAGGCTTGGCCCTAGCTGCACGCCTGGCTGGGCCTCTGAACGCTGTCCTCTGGTGGGGTGTCCCCCGAAGCCATCTTTCCAGGGCCTTGCCTGTCCCGCGCAGCAGCAACGCCCACGGCCTCTGGGCTGTCCTTCCACCTTCCACCCCTGCAGCGCACAGCTCGGGCTGGAGGGGGCGCCAGGAACCGCCTCACCGCCCGCCCCAGTCTCCCTCCCAGTGCCTGGGTTCAGCAAGGTTCCGAGCGGTGAGCCAGCGCCCGCGCCAAGCCCAGAGGGCCCTTCCCCTCACCCTCTCCAGGAAAAGCACGCGAGGCGTCCACCGCCAAGTGCACTCCCAGATTGAGGGACGAGGGAGGGACGCACACACAGAACGCCCAGGGCTCAGCAGAGCGGCTGAGGTTTGAAAGGCGGTCACCTTGGACCCAGGCGACTGGGAAGGCTCAGAGAGGTATCCAGACTTGCGGGAGGAAGTAGCTCCCTGCAGCTGGGGCCAGATTGTGACGTTCAAGGCCAGGATCGATGCCGGGAGCAGGCGACCTACCCCCAGGGACATTTTCCACTCTCTTCCCCTGGGCTCTCTCCAAAACCTGCCTCCACCCCCCACCATTTTGGGGTGACCAGTAAGAAAGATATAGTTACCTAAAGAAAGTGGGGGCTACACAGCCTCAGGAGCCCCAATAATCCCCCAACTCTCTGCCTACCCTGGTGACTCCCCTTTCTGTCCACCCTCCCACTCTACTCTCTCCTTGATCCCAATCTCAAGCTGCTACCCTCCTCCCTCTGACCATCTGACCTCCTTCCTTCCTCTGACTCTATTGACCCAATTGGAATCAGGCCCACCTGATTCCCGCCCACTCAGAACCTAAGTGTCAGCCTTCTCCAAGGCTCAGTTTCCTTGTCTGTAAAATGGGGATAATAGTGCTTACTCCCTCAGGAGGTGATGAGGATGAAAACTATACTTCTGGAATGAGTTGTCTCTACAGTGGACTCTTTATCACCTCCTGTCCCTCTTCTAGCCATGCTTACTGGGCTCTTGGTTCCACCATGCCACTGAACCTTCTCTGTCCAAGGACCTCCGTGACCTCCATTTGCCAGACCTGATCACTGGCTCCTCCCTGATTCCCTCTCCATTAGCTCCTTGGTCTTGGAGGACACCATCCTCTCCTGATTTCCCTCCTACCTCCCAGGCACCCCTTCTCAGACTTCTGGTTCACCTGCATCAATGGGCTTCCTTCCCCTCTGGCTTCCATTGGGTTTGGCTGATGGGAGAGAGGTGAGTGAGGTCAGGATGTTTATCCCATGCCCCCTTCCTCCAAGCTTTGTTGGCTGTGTCCCTCCACAGCAGGCAGCAGCTCCACATAGCTCTCTCCCTCCAGGTCCATGGGGTGGTAACAGCTCCTGGCTGTGGCGAATCCAGGGTATGCACTATGCCTTGATTATTTCCTTCTACTGAGTTCTCATCAATTACTTGGTTCAAGTATACAGTCTCTTTCCTGCCAACACTCAGACCTTGACAAACTCCAATGTCATGCTTTAAATACCATCTCTATGCTGATGTCTCCCAAATTTATGTCTCTAGCTCTGACTTCTCCCCTGGGTTTTGGACTCATATCCAACAGTCCCTAGTCTAATAGATATGCCAAAATGAACACTTTAGAAACTGAACTCTTGGTTTCCCCCAACTCTATTCCTCTCTACTATGTATAGCAACTCACTCATTCTGTTTTTCATGCCCAAAATGTAGAAGTCAGCCTCAATTTCTCTTTTTCCCTCAGCCCCTGCCCCAATCCATTCATATACTGGATTGCTGTTTGCTCTGCCTCCAAAATGTATTCTGAATTCGTCCACTTCTCACCACCCTTGTCCCAGACATTCACTGTCCTCCAGTGACTCCCCACCAAACTTAGAAGAAAAATCCAAATTCCCTACCCTGGCTTAGAAGGCCCTTCCCACTTCTCAGATCTCATCTCCTGACATCTCCCTTGATCACTCCTCCATCCCAGCCTTCATGCTTTCCTCAAACCCCCCAGCTGCATTCCCACCCCCAGGGCCTTTGCACTTGCCTTTCCCTCTGCTTGGAATGACTCATCACATGGTTGGCTTCTGCTATTCAGGTCTTGGTTCTTCAGAGAAGTGGTCTCTGATCACCCAGCCTACATCAAACACAGCTCTTCTTTAACCCTATCCCTGTTATTTTCTGTAACTCACCCAATACTGCAGTTATCATCAATTACCTTTATTTCTTCCTTTATTTGTATATTATCTGTCTCCCCCAACCCCAGGCTGCAAAGTGAGCTGCATTACAGCATTTTCTGTTTGTCATGCTCACCCAACTCCCCCACGCCTAAAACAGTGCCTGACACATAACACTTGTTTAAGAATGTTCCCAATGCTGGGAACAAAGAGATAAACCAGACTTGGAAGTTGCAGTTGAGCTTGGGAGACAGACACAATTATAAACAGAACAATCTTGCCTCAAGGTGGAACACAGGACAAGGGTACAAAGGGAAGCCTATATATTATACATCCAAATAGTTAACAGTTATAAAATCAAACTACAAGCAATGAAGTAAAAAATATTCTCTCCTCCAAAAGGTGGAAACAACCTAAATGTCCATCAACAGGTGAATGGATAAACAAAATGTGATCCATCCATACAATGGAATATTACTTAGCCATAGAAAGGAATGAAGCACTGATTCATGCTACAATGTGGACGAACCTTGAAAACATTATGCTCAGTGAAAGAAGCCAGACACCAAAGGCCACATACTGTATGATCCCATTGATAGAAAATGTCCAAAATAGGTAAATCTATAGAGACAGATGCAGATCGGTGGTTGCCAGGAGCTGGGGGTAGGAGGGAATGGGGAGTGACTGCTTAATGGGTACCGGCTTTCCTTCTGGGGTGAGGAAAATTTCTGGAATGAGACAGTGGCAAAAGTTGCACAACACTGTGAATGTACTGAATGCCACCAATTGTAAATTTTGTCGTGTGTATTTTACCACAATTAAAAACTAATTTTTAAAAATATGTTCTCTCGGGGCTTCCCTGGTGGCGCAGTGGTTGAGAGTCCGCCTGCCGATGCAGGGAACGCGGGTTCGTGCCCCGGTCCGGGAAGATCCCACATGCCGCAGAGCGGCTGGGCCCGTGAGCCACAACTACTGAGCCTGCGCGTCCGGAGCCTGTTCTCCGCAGCAAGAGAGGCCGCGACAGTGAGAGGCCCGCGTACCGCAAAAAAAAAAAAAAAAAAATGTTCTCTCAGGGGAATTTCCTGATGGTCCAGTAGTTAGGACTCGGCCCTTTCACTGCCGAGGCTCGGGTTCAATCCCTGGTCGAGAAATAGATCCTGCAAGCCGTGTGGCGCTGCATATATATATATATATATATATATATATATATATTTCCCTCTTCCTATCATGACAAATATACTTGTAGAATGACCTAGATGACCACGTTCAATTGAAAATATTTTGAATCCCTAGGAGTTTTGTACTTGAATGTGGGACACAGGAAAACCCCAGCCCTCAGTCTGGCCCCTTTTGCTTCCCACCCCCAACTGTCCTACACAGCGAGGAGCCTTGTGCACGCACCTAGGGAGCCCATCCCACATGCCCATGCTCTTTCCTCACCCCTCTGCCCACAGCTGCCCTTGGCCACTTCTTGGACACCCTGCGTAGGATCTAGAGCAGGGAGGGACGATTTAGCTGGGTACATTCCCTTTGCCCCATGGGGAGCAGGCCCTCTAAAGCAAGGGGCCCAGGGGACTTCCCTGGCGGCCAAGTGGTTAAGACTCCGCGCTTCCATGCAGGGGGTTTGATCCCTGGTCGGGGAACTAAGATCCTGCATGCAGTGCGGTGTGGCCACAAAAAATAAAAAACAAAAATAAATGAATTTAAAATTTTAAAAAATAAATAAGTAAAGCAAAGAGCCCAGGACAAGGGCTCTTCTCATTGAGGTTTATGTCAGAATTGCACAGTGTGACCAGGGCTGTGATAAGGGAAGCACTGGGGGCTGCAGGATACCAGCCTGGAGAGTAAAAATGATTTCCCCAAGAGAGTGGTTGGATGAAACATATAATCAGCTGAGAAAAGGGGTGCTGGCCCTTTAAGAATGGGATGTGGGGTAGAACAGGGACCCTCAAGATTTAGGTAGGAAGCTCTCTAGACCTTTCCCATCACCACACTCCCCCAATAGTTATCACATCTAAGGGGTGTCCAGGGTCCTGGAGGCTGTTTGATCTAATTCTCTTATTCTCCCAAAGGGGAAACCGAAGCCTAGAAACCTAGGGGAAGTTGCCCAGAGTTGTCCAGAGCCCAGACGTTCTGGTTCCCATGGGGCACAGGCTCTGGTCTCCAGAATCCTCTAGCTGGATCAGCCCTTCCTCCTCGCCCCAGAACCAGGGTCCAAGAAGGGAGGGCAGTTAGCCTGTAAAAGTATCCCTTGTGTGGTGTTCAACAGTACTCAAAGGCGGGTGACCCTTGGTGGGCAACTGGACTAGAAATGTCTAGGGTGGCAAGTGGAGGTGCCATTGTCTGAGGGGGTCAGGGACTCCAAACGTCCGTCCACCCGCTAGACCACACATGTGAGAGTGTGTTTGCCAGGAGGCAGCTGAGTGCAGCAACGAGGCCACTGGCTGGTAAATAATTGATCAGGACAGCTGATAGTACCTCCCCAGAACTGCCCCGCCAGCCCCCGGCCCCCCTCGCCCCGGCCCATGCGTCTCCCGCCTCCTGGCCCAAACCAGCTGGACCAGCTCTCCCAGTGCCCGCCTGCAGCCCCCCCCCACTCCCGACAGCCAAGTCACAGCCTCCAGGGCACCTTTCGGCAAGCGGGTGGTGGGTCCTGGACTCAGGGACCAGAACGTGGGCTTCTGGGCAGAGATGGCCCTGCAAAGCCAGGTGTGGTCTCCGGCCACACCCATGTAAGTGTCTGGGGTCAGGGGGGCCAGTGGGCAGGGCCTGGGAGGGGCTCATGGAAGACACTGGCCTTTCCACGGAGCAGGGGAGGTGAGAGCTCCAGCTAGCCTCTCCTAAGGGGGCCAGGGAGAGTGAAGGGCGGCCGGCAGCCAGCCCCCCAGGCTCTTCAATGCCCCCCCTCCCCAGAAAGTCGGGTGGGAGGTGTGAACCCTCACCCCCTTCTTTTTTGGGGACTTTCCGCTGGCAGGCCCAAGCCCAAAGTCCAGCCTGGGGGGTGGGGCTATTACTTGGGTGAGGGGCAGGGAATGTCAAGGTCTCTGACTCCTATGTTTTGCCTCTAGAATCATCCCTCAGTGTCCAGGGTGGGAGGAAATGCTTGAGATCCAACAGGAAAAAGTTAACAGCTCCCAAACTGGGAAAGAGAATGGGAAAATGGAAATGATCACCTGCTTAATGAAATGACCACCAACTGTTCTTGGTGGGGCAAAAAGCCACCACTGTGAATGTTCTTCTTGTAGAGTTAGAGATAAGCAACATCTAACGAAATGTGCAGATTATTTTAATATTCGAGGTGTGAGGGCTTTTTAAAGTAAGAGGGTGGAGGGCCTCCAGAGGTTTGTAAAGAGTTCTGGAAAAGGGGATCCCCCCAGGGACCCCAATTTGGTTCTTCACTCTTTTGGGTTCCCCGTTGCATTATTCACCAACTACAAACCTGGTTGCCTAGCAATGGGAATCTGATCCTCCCCCCAGCAAGGAAGAGGCAGGGAGATTACATCTTGGGGGTGGGAGAGCAGAGGGGGGACTTTAGCCTTCCCCCCAGGGGCAAACTTATTAACAGGGGGTCTGAGCTTCCTTTGGGATACCTTGGAAAGCATGACTTCAGCATCCTGCCCCAACTGGAATTGGGGACACCCCAGACAGATCTCTTGTCTCCTGGCCGTCAAGAGGAGGATGCCTAGACTTCCCTCTTCCCCACAGTGTTCCCAATATTTGGGATCTGAGAGCCTTGAGTTCCAGTCCTGACTCAGGGACATTAGACAAGTCTTTTTGCCACTTCTTGGAGCCTCAGTATTCTCATCCGTCAAATGGGGACAGTACTACTATTGATACTTACCTTCTAAGATGGTAGAGAGGGTTAAATAAGTTACTGTGAGTAAAGCATTTAACAGTGCCTGGCACCTGGTGTGCACTGGCTAATGGTTGGCTGATTTTCTTCTCAGTTGGAATGTCAACTCAGCAAAAAGTTGACTACAGTGTCTCAAGATCAGGGCAGGGAGGGGGAGGGGGAGGTGGCTGTGGGAGCCTAGCAAAAGCCCCATAGAGCACTTAGAGCGCTATAGATAGTAAGTGCTAAATGTGAACTCACTATTATAACTTCATGGTGAGGCCAGAGAAGATCTGGGAGGCCCCACCAGAGTTTGGGCAATGAGGTTAGTTAGTGCTCAACTTAATAAATGTTTGAGGGCTTGCTCTGTGCCCACCCTGGGCTAAGCGTCAGGGCCAACAGGCAGACAGATATATCCTTCTAGTTATTGGCCTGTGAAGCACCTGCACATAGTCAGTGCTCAGTGCATGTCTCTGATGAGAGGCTGATGTAATGATGACTGTCCCTGAAGTGCCCTGCAGTACCAGTCAGCCTCCAGCTTCCAGGGGGAGCCCAAACGGACTAGGGGTGGCCCTGGAGGCTGGGAATTGGGGATCCTGGGGTGCTTTGAGGAGGACAACAATGGGGGTAATCTCAGGTTAAACCTTAAACGGCGAGTCCCCCTCCCCCTCCTCCCAGTTCAGAGTCCAGCACTAGGCAGTGTGACCTGGTGACCCTTGCCCCCAGGGATGGTGGCTTGCAGGTGGAGGAGGCAACTCCGGAGTTACCATGGCAATGGCATGTGTCCATGGTGGGATGGACACTTTTCTCCCCAGACTCCCTCACCCCCCAGCACTTAAGGGATGCTGTGTAGGAGCCAAGGTCCAGAAAGGACCTTGTTCGGGTTTGGTGGGATTCGAGAGTTTCTGGGAATGGTTATTATAATTAATCAAAAACATTATTAGTCGTGGGAATTATTTAAATTTTTTTATTTTTTTCTTTTTGGCTGAGCTACACAGCTTGTGGGATCTTAGTTCCCCGTCCAGGGATTGAACCTGGGCCCTCGGCAGTGAGAGCACGGAATCCTAACCACCGGACCACCAGCGAATTCCCTAAAATTATTGTTAATAATAAACTGTGCTACTGTTTTTGGAGCACTATGTCCTAAGTTTTTTCCTGCATGGATACTTCCTTGCAAGGCCATCTCTCTCTGCAAGGTGAAGGTCAACCTATCCTGGTCCATTTTACAGATGGGGAAACTGAGGCTCAGAGAGGTGTTGTCAAGCCTAGGAAGGGATTTAGCTCAGTCTGTCATGGTCTCTGCTCTCTCTCCCTCACAGAACCCCTGCCCTCTGCCCCGACCCCTCCCAGGTGCAAAGGGGAAATAGAGGAAAGTGCTGGGTTTTGGTTGGCTTCCAAGCAGCTCAGGGATCTTGGCTCAGAGAGGGGTATTCGAGAGGTGAGCCTGCTGAGGTGTGGGCCCCTGGGAGACCCCTTTGGCAGCCGCCTCCCTCTCCCTGCAGGCCCATGGCAGAGAGCTCCCTCTACCGGCAGCGGCTAGAGGTCATCGCGGTAAGTGAAGCCCTACCAGTGCGGTCAGCCTGGAGCCCTGGGCAACCCTAACCTTGCCCCAAGCCCTTTCCTCTCCTCCCTCCTATCACAGGGAGCAGGCCTAGGGCTCTGAAGGTGCGCCTTTCTCGGGGCGCCCCACCTAAATCCTCAGGCCCCTCCGCTCCCCAGTTCCTCTGATCACTGACACCCCTAGAATGGAGAGCTGCGAACTCCGCACTCTTGAAATCTATAGCATCCGATGCTCCATTCTTGAACCCCAGTCTCCAAGATACCCCATGTCTGAACCCCATCTCTCAGACCCCCATATCTGAACCTCATCTCTCTAAACTCCCATATTTAAATCTCCATCTCTGTGGACCACATCTCTCTGAACCCCTCATCTCACTAACCCCCATCTCTCTGGACCCCTTCTCTACATCCTAGTCTCGCTGGATCCCCATGACTGCACCTCCATTTCCGACACCCCCATCTCACTAGCCCCCTCCCTTTGATCTTCATATCTGGACCCCCATCTCTCTGAATCCCGTCCCTCTTAACCCCATATCTCAGACACCCCCTACCCCCGGATTCCCATTCCAAGGCCCTCCCACCCACAGACCCCAGTTCCGCGCGGGCGAGGCCTCTGCAGCATCCCGGGCGCGGCCGGCCCCGCCCCCGCCGGCCCCGCCCCCACCCGCTGCTGAGTCAGGGCCTCCGCAGCCGCCTCCCGGCCCGGGGCCCAGACTTGTGTTCCGCCCCCGGCGCGGCTTTCAGTCCCGGGAGTCCCGGGAGCCCCGGGAGCCCCCGGGAGCCCCCGGGAGCCCGGCGGAGGAGGGAGGGAGGAAGGGGGGAAGGCGGCCCCGCCCGGCCTCACCCGGCCCGCGGGCAGCTCCGGGTCCTCTGTGCGCAGGAGAAGCGGCGGCTGCAGGAGGAGATCAGCGCCGCGCGCCGGGAGCTGGAGGAGGAGAAACTCCGTGTGGAGCGGCTCAAGGTTGGGGGCGGGCAAGGGCGCCTGCTTAGCCCGGGCAATGAAGTGGGGGTGTCTGTGAGAGTCAATTCTGGGAACCAAAGGAGGCTCTGTCTAAACATGGGGGGGGCATTGGTTCCAGCTTTGGGGGTGGGCATCCTCCCCAGCTTGGGAGAGTGGGTGGTTGTGATGGGGACATTTGTTCCACCTTTGGGAAGAGTATGGGGACAATGGAGGTGTTTGTTCCTCTTTGGGGTAGGGAGGGGCTAATAGGGACATTGAGTTCACCTTTGGGGGTGTTTGTCCCATTCTGGAAAGGTTGGGGAGATCGATGGGTGTTTTTTTTCCAGCGTGGGAAAGCTATGGGTTGGTAACGGGGTGTCTGCCCCACCTGGCATCGTTGGGGCACATATCCCAGCCTGAGGGAGAAATGTCTGTCCCATCTGGGTGGTCGTAGGGCAATAAGAAATCTGCCCAGGGTGGGACATCCAGAGGGGGGCGCTACATGAGATGGGGTAGTCCATGTGCCCCTTCCCATGCCCAGAGGAAGTCTCTCCGGGAACGCTGGCTAATGGACGGGGCAGCTGAAGAGCCGGAGCGGCCCCAGGACCCCGCCTCACAGGACCCCCAGTCACCTGAGGACCAGGCTCAGGCCCGCATCCGGAACCTGGAAGGCAGCTTGTTCACGTGAGTAGGGCCCCTGCCTGACAGCTTTGCCCCAGCCTGACTAGGCCAGGCCCCTCAGCCCACTCCAATTGACACTTCGGGTGGGGTTGGTCCATAAGCCCGAGGTCCAGGCTCCCAGCAGCCCCTTCTCTTCCCCAGACTCCAGTCCCAGCTGCAGCTGTTACAAAGTGCATCCACAGGTGCCCAGCACAAGCCCACAGGCAGGCCCACCTGGCGCCGACAGGTGAGGAGCTAGGGGAGCAGGCGGTGGGAGGAGGGGGTGTGGCAAGCAGAACCCAAAGCAGGACCTCTCCAAGTACAGTTTAGATTCTGGGTCCTCTGCTCTGTGGTCTTGGGCAAGTCACTTTCCTTGCCCAAGCCTCAGTTTCCCCATCTCTAAAATGAGCATAACAACAGCACACACCTGGAAGAGGTGTGAGAGAGGGTTGGTGAGATCATAGCTTAGTACCTGGAACAGGCACAAGGGACCGTTTTGATATGGTTGCCAATATGACCTGAATGAGGAAAGCAGTCAGCAAATGTGGGGAAGTGTTCATGGAATTCAGTCTCAAAGGTGGGAAAGGGTCATCGTGAGATGCTCTCATGATTTGGGGCATCTACGTGGCTTTTGGAGTTTTGGGGTTTGTTTTGGTAATGCCTCTATTAAGATACAACGCAGGCCATACAACATACAGGTTTTTGAAAACCAAGACAACTTCACATTAAAATCTGGCTCTCCGTGTTGTCCTTGAAGTCCAAAGATCCAGTAATATTTGCACCTGGCCATGGTGATGTGTGGGTTTTCCACAGTCCCCACCTCTCCCTGATGCTTTACCTTGGCTCCCAGGTGCCTGTTTCAGGACAAAAGAGGAGAGGAGACCTTTAATTGGGATAGGAAGCACTTGTTGGGTTTTTAGTCTAAGCCGGGAATTCCCTGCTAGAGATGCGCAAGACATGATTCCTGGCCCAAGAGAGCTCACGGTCGAGATGAGGAGATGGGGTGCAAAGAGTCTGTGAGGGGGGAGCCCAGGATATAGGGGAAGCTCATAAGAAGCACCTGAGTGAGGTTGGGGGCTCAGGGACGGCTTCCTGGAGGCAGTGACATCTATGCTGAATCTGGAAGGGAATCAGGAATACAGGCAGAGGAAACAGCCTGGACAAAGGCCTAGAGGCTGGAAAGAGGAGGGTAGGATAGGAGATCTGTGGGGTTTGGCATAGGTGGCCTGCAGGGCTGTCCTCAGCTCCCCTCCCTTGGGCTCATCTTTCCCTTGATCCCTTCCTTCACTCCACTCTAGCCACCCTGACCCTCTGTTCTATTCCTTGAACTTGTCTAAATCACTATAGCCCCAGGGCCTTTGCATTTGCTGTCCCCTCCGCCTGGAATGCCCTTTCCTACCTTTTGACTCAAGGCTGGCTCTTCTCACCTTTCAGGCCTTTGTTCAATGTCACCTCCTCCAAGAGGCCCTTCTGCATCTTATACCTAAAGGAGGCACCCCATCACCTCCCAGGCATTCCCCAGCCCCTTATCCTGCTTTTCTTTTCTTTTCTTTTTTTCCTATCATAGCCCTTCTCACTCCCTGAATTACAGATTTGTTTTATGTTTATTACCTGCTTCCTCCCACTGGAATGTAAGTTCCAATAGCAAAAGGCTTAAGTGTCCCTTAAGTAACCTCAGTAGCTGGCAGAGTAGGTCCCCAATACAGAGGGATTGGCTGCATGGCCACAATATTGATTGGGCACCTACTGTGTGCAACGCAGTGGAGCAGAGGGAGATGAGACAGGTGAGGAAGGCTGAGGTACAACAGAGGGTTTGGTCCTGAAGGTAATGGGGAGCCATCGATGGTGTTTGAGCAGGGGAGGGGTACTGGCATGCAGGAAGCTGGAAGTGGAGATGTGGGCCGGCCTGACCTTGTTTCTTCCATCCCTGCAGGGTCACCGTCCTCTATCCCAGCCCACCGTGGAGGCAGGTCCTGCAGGTGGGTGTATTGAGGTCTGGGGGTCGCAAGAGGAAGGACCTGAATCTCACTCTGTTGCCCCATCTCTCCTTTCCCCTTCTCCCCTCACGCCCCCAGGCCAGACTGATCTAAACAAGAGAGCCTCCATACCAGCCGGACCAGTGGGCACATACCCAGAGTCCCCCTCTAAGTCCAGAGACGAGTCTGTCGGGGTTCCACCAGCCCCGAGGAGGATCCCTGGGGCAGCAGTGGCCTCCTCAGAAGCCAATGGCCCCTGCCCTGGATCCAGCCCCCCTCCGGAGCAGGCGCCGAGTCAGGGAGTGGCAGCGTCTGACGGGGGAGTGAATGAGGCCAAAGGGGGAGGCACGGTGAAGGTGGTCTGGGAGGGGCTGAGGGCCACGGAGGACTGTACCACGGGGGCTACAGGCCCAGAGCTGGAGGCTAAGGTGGAGGAGATGGTCATGGAGGCCATCGGGGACAGACAGGAAGCCGGACGCCGAGAGCTCCCTTCATGGGTCAGGGAGGACAGGGATATCGTGGAGGTAGTCTGGGAAGGGGTGGGAGGCACAGAGGGCAGCGACTCAGAGGCCATGGGGGAGGCGGGCAGAGGCCTGGAGGCTGCACACACCAGCTCACTGAGGCTCCAGGAGGGACCGGGGGCAGCAGCTTCTGGAGAAGGGGAAGGTGCCCCCAGGGGCAGCGCTGATGGTGATGGGCAGGGGGGCTTTGGAGGAGAGGAGGGGTCCTTCATTTGGGTGGAGAGAGTGACCCTCAGTGAGCAGTGGGAAGAGCTGGCGGTGGAGGGGTTGGAAGGGCCAAAGGCACTGGGAAGGGAGGGAAAGGATGACAGTCCACTGGGGGCAGGCGGCAGAGGCGGGGAGGAAACGTGGGGGGCGGAGAGGAGGTGGGCAGAGGAATTAGCGGGGAAGAGAGGAAGTGAGGGAATGGCAGGCGCAGAGCCAGAAGGAGCAGAGATGTCACTGGCAGTGGAGAGGAAAGGAAGCGAGAAATCCTTGGAGCCAGAGAGGAGAGGAGTTGAGGAAAAGGTGGAGACAGAGATGGGAGGAGGTGACGAACCACTGTCGGCAGAAAGAAAAGAAGTTGAAGGACCTCTGAGGGCAGAGAGGGAAAGAGGGGAGGAGCCGTTGGGAGTACAGCAGAAAGGAGGTGAGGAAAAGTTAGAGGCAATTGAAGAACCATTGGTGACAGAAAGGAAAGAAGGTGAGGAATCACTGATGGTAGAGAGAATAGGAGGTGAGGAAGCACTGGACGGAAAGGAAAAAAGAGACGAGGAG